TTTCAGCGGCATCCACGGGCCTTCCTGCCCAGCCGCCTCTGGGTGGACTTGAACCACCAGCTCTCCAATGAGCAGTCAAGCCCACTCTCTATTTGTACCACCTGGGGACTCTATGCAAATTAGTCACGTGCCCTTCTTTTCTTTCTTAGGCTAAGCATCATTTTTCTTAAAATGATGATGATGATGATAAAAGGAATGAAGGGAAAGTTGGGGAGGGAGGGAGGAAATAGCAAAACCAAGATGCTGAGTCCTTGTAAGCATCTGCCCAGGGCCCACCCTGTACTTGACCTCTGGAGTGTCCCAAGGGAGCATGTGGACACAGGCCAGGGGGACAAAGTCTCCAAAGGTTTGTCTGGATCCAGAAATAGCTGGTTGCCCAGGACCTCGGGGCTTATGCAAGGCCTTACTCAAATAATAACCTGCCCCCTGACTTCGAATCAGCTTGCAGAGCCCGGCAGCTGTGGGCCATCGATAGATCGATCCCAATGCACAGAAGCCCTGCAGGACGGAGCAGAATTGCCCCATCGGGCGGGTTTCCTGGACTGTCGCTACTGAAGGAGATCTCTAGGTCTTTGCTCCTGCAGAGCCGCTGGTGGGTTTGAACCACTGACCCTGTGGTTGGCAGCCCGCCACTGTAATGCCTGTTATGCAACCATGGGGCACCTGGGGAACCAGAGACCCGGAAAGGAGGGTCAAAGGTGGGGTACAGGTGACCCTGTGGTTAAGGGCAGAGTCAGGCTTATCCCTGGGGCCCTGGGATCCTCAGCCCTGAACATCGTGCCCAATCCCAAAGGCACCCGAGGGCCCACCTGCACTCAGAAGTCTGCCCGGGAGCTGACAACTCTATCTGTTGGGGTTGGGTACCACGGAGTCCATTCTGACTCACAGCAAACCCATGTGATGGAGTGGGTGTGGCAATGGCCTAAGCGGTGATCTTTCTGGAAGCGGAAGGCCAGTTCTTCCTCTAGAGGACCAGCCTTTCAGCGAGCAGCAAACTCTCAACCTCTGCATGGCTGGGGCTCGGTAGTCTACTCACCCTCAGGTCCCAGGCTCGCAAGCTAGCCAGGTTTGCATCTATTTCACTTAACACTTAGAAAAATCAAGAAGGTAAGCCTCCTCACCTCCATTTAGCAGGGGAGGGAACTGAGGCCTAAAACAGGTAAGCGGTGGCCCATTCATTCCTGTGTTTATTCATTCCACACATCTACTGAACATCTGCATGGGTCGGTGCCCCAAGGGGATAAGATTGCTCCCGTGGAGACTATTCTCAGAAGTGAAGATCCCTAGCGGGTCCTCCAGGTGTCCCTCATGGGCCTTAAGCCCCCAAGCAGCTTCCTTCCTTGCCCTGGATGGCCCCATGAACAGAGCCTCCACTCCATGCCCCGCACCCCCGCCCTCATTTTCAACCCCCTGGACAGAGCACGCAAAGGAGGTGAAAGGGAACATGTCTCTCTTTCCTGTAATGAGCCTTGTTCTAGGTCTGAAGGGCTGATCATTAACCAAGTCTTGCCCTCTGATCCCACCGCCTGCAAAAGTGGATGTCTGCCTCCCTCCCAGGGCCTCCTACCCCCTGGCTCCCTGCAGCCAAGGGGGCAAAGACTGGGCTTGGCTTTGAAACTCACACTGTGACCTTAAGCATGAAAGACATTTCTCCTTTCTGTTTCTCAGCACTTTCATTTTTGACACCCACGCACCCACACCCAAATGGGGTAGGGAAGCGATTGGACTACTCTTTGGGGTCAAAAAATCTTGTGAGAGAGAGAGAGAGACAGAATAAGGGAAGCTAAGAGGACAGACTCTGAAGTCAGCCAGCCAGGGTACGAAATCCCAGAGCTTGAGGACATAATGGATGCCACCAGAGTTTACATGAAATTGGCAAATGTTTTATTACACAAGAAAATTGCAGAACCCATTTTCAAACTGTATGACCTTGGGGCGTCTTTACGCTTTTTTCTTCTCCCTCCTCAATTTCCACTCCTCTAAAATGAGACCAAAGGAGCCCTGGTGTCACCGTGGGCTAATGGGCTGCCAACCACAAGGTCAGCTGTTCGAACCCATCAGCCGCTCCTCGGGAGAAAGATGAGGCGTTTGCTCCCAGCCTCAGAAATCCCAAAAGGCAGTTCTACTCTGTCCTATAAAGTTGAAATAGTCAAAATCGACTTGATGACAGTGAGTTTTTTTGAAATGAGGCCAAGGGGCCCAGTGGCATTGTGAGTTAAGTATTGGACTGCTAATCACGAGGTCAGCAGTTCAAACTCACGTCACTCCTTCAGAGAAAGGGGAAGCCCTCTGCTCCCTAAGGAACCACAGTCTCAGAAACCCACAGGGGCAGCTCTCCCCTGTGCTGTAGGCTCACTGTGTGTCGAAGTTGGTTAGAGGAGGTCAGATGGCAGGTTCTTCCTTGTTTGAAGAGGTGCTCAGTTAGCATGACTGTGGCAATCACATAATCTGTCAACGTGAGGGAGGTGGAGTCTAGACTGTCAATCAGGTCACAGCTTATGACCACATTTGGAGGGGTGACAGAGATAAGTAGCTCTCTGGAAGCCAGATACACTCACTCCCTGAGGGGCATTCCTGATGACAAGCCTGATATAGATACACTGATGCTGCCAGAGCCCTGGTGCTGGAGGATCCACGTGGAGACCCACGCCAGCACTGAGATGCTTCCACTGCCACTAGATCCACAAGACTTTCCACCTACTGGTCTGTGATCTTCCTGCAATGCATTCAGCATGGTTGAGGGCGTCTAAAGAGGGATTCATGGACTAGTATTGACATATGGGCTAATATTGGACTTATGGACTTGATCTGGACTGGCTGGGGTGTTTTCCAATATACAATTACTTCTTGATCTAAAGCTCTCTCTCACACGTATATGAGTGTCCCTCACTTTGTCTCTAGCCCAGCCTAACACAGAGGACTATGTGGCAATCTGCTCCCATAAAGATCCAAACCCTGCAGCCACTCCTTGAGAGAGAGGTGAAGCCCCTCTGCTCCATATGAAACTCCCCAGGGGCCATGCTAGCCTGTCCCAGAGGGTCACTCTGAATTGGAATCTACTCAGCGGCCATGAGTCTTTATGCTAAAGTTAAACGAAAGCTTCATTTCCATGTGCACGAGCTGCAAGTTTTATTGGACCTTAGATCACCATGCTTGCTGACGGGCGCTGTCTAGCTGCCGAGTGGACCCATCTCGATTTGGGATTGATAAACATTTAAACTATTTTTTTTTCAAGTTTCAGATGTTTATTATTCAGTGTAAACCCCAATGACACACCATGATTCTGTGCATTTAAGGGATAACAATAACCTGGTTATTGTGTGGAAACTTCTGGAAGACCTTCGTGCTAAGCAGCTTTATGGGGAAACATTGCACTGAGCGGTCAAGGCCCTCTTCCTTCGGTTTGCTCTAATCCACATTCACAGCGAAGAACTTAGATGGTTCATTGGGACCAAGTTTATCCCATGGTTCTGGGTAGTTCTTTCTGTCCCAACTGACAACTGGATTAAACAACGCCCGACACATGACCGACAGTGCTGTCCAGTGCCTCTGGCTCCAAGCACCACGGAGAGAGGGGTCAGACTCAGGAGCCTCTTGGCCTGAGCGAGGGTCAGGTGCAGCATGTTGGTGGCTCTGACCGCAGGTCCGGGAGGAGAAAACAAACTTGGCAGGCCCACGAGCTAGGGCTCCCTGTACGGTGTTTTGGTGGGAGCTCAAAGTCCTATTTAAACATTTTAAATGTTTCCAAAACGTCCTTCAGAAGGTGGGCCCAGCCCACACTCGCTGTCGTCGGGCACACACGTTCCCACGGCCTCAGGACCACCAGAGAGAGTACTGATTAGCTTTCCTCCTTTGGGCCGGTTGGAAGGATGTCACCGCACTGCTGTTCTATCTCGCAGGTATCTGGGTGTTAGTGATGCTGTGACTCTCTTAAAATTCTTGGAACCAAGATTTAAGGGTTTTATCCACTTCATAGGGCTATTTTGAGTGTTAAGGGAGAAAGTGTATTTCAAGTACTAAATTCATCTCTTAGCACATGGTAAGGAGCCCGGATGGCATGGTGGGGCTGCTGAGCAGCAAGATCAGTGGTTCAAACCCCCCAGTCATACCCAGGGAAAATAAAGAGACTGTGTGCTCCCATTAAAGATGTACAGTCTCACAAACCCTAATGGGCCTGATGGCGGGTGGTCGGGGTACAGGTCTGCTCTATCCTGTAGGGTCACTATCAGTTAAGAGCTTAGGCTATACTAAGCACTCAGTCAAGGTGTGATTTTTTAAAAGCAAGACACTAGGTTGACTGACTTGATCCTCAGTTATGATTATCATTAAAACATTTGGCTGATGGCTTCCCCGAGCCACGGGATCTTCGAGCATGAGACCAGGAGAGCTGGAGAGGTCCTAGCTACCTTGCCAAGTGTTTTGCTCCAGACACAGCAGCTGGATCCTGATAGGAAGGCAGGGAGAACGTGGGACAGACTTCACATTCCTAAAACAAAACAAAAATCCCTGGGCTGGCTGGACCCAATGAGGCTGGAGGAACCCCTGACAGTCTGGTTCTCTGAGAGCCTCCAACCCTGAACCCCCATCCAGCCCCTGGAGTCAGCTTGAAACAAGAAGGCAGTAGGCGATGCCCCCCTTCAGAAAGCCTATCTGGAGGAGATAGGGGAGACGCAAACACTCGGGACCACAGATGAGGTCATTAGGAGTAGTGAGCCTAAAGTCACGGTGGAGGGACAACGGGGTGGCCACGGTGAGCGGGTGGACACGAGTGAGGCTGTAGCGGAGTCACTGAACCATCTGGGTAGACAGCGCTGCATGGGAGTCTCTTCGGATGTGCATAATTACACGAATCATAAAGTGACAAGCCCAAGCCAAACCAAACAGCACTCGGCGCACAGTAGGTGCACTCAGTCTGTGCGTGTTTTCATTTCCCTGCTACCAACCTCCACACAGGTCAAGTTGGCCCCACCCCCAGCCCCAGGCCCTTTCCACAGCCTCACCTGCGTTCTCTTCACCCTCCCTGACCAGTCCTTTCCCGGCCTCCCTCTGGCCAAAGAGACTCTTGAGGATGGCGCTGGCGATGGGCAGCATCATGGCGGTGGAGGCGGTGTTGCTCAGCCACATGGACAGGAAGGAAGTGGTCAGCATCATGCCCAGGATGAGTCTGCAACAGAGCGGGTTAGAGACAGGCGGGAACCTGGCCGCCCAGGCGCTTACCCCTGGGAAGGCAGCCCACTGGTCTCGTCCTGCTGCGCCCGATTTCAGCACTCTGCTGTTTCAGGCCCTGTTTGTTCTGAGGCCCTGAGAGGGCGTGTTGGGCAGAGCTGGAGGCTGCATTCACTTACCAGGCATATCTTCTAGGGGAGGGACCATGGCTCAGTGTGTGCGATTAAACAGACCACGGACACACAAGGTTGTGTGTCTGGTTCCAGCCACGCTGTGCGCCTGATACTTCCCTCCTTTGTCCCCTTATCCTGATTCGCTTCCATTTCAGACTAAAGCTGCCTTCCCTTGGCATCTCTCCCCAAACAGCCTTCCTTCCCTCCCTCGGCTTCCCCACCAGGCATGCCCTGCAGATGGCATAGAGCTTCTCACCAGCACCCAAAGGGGCCCAAACTCTCCTGTCTCACAAATGGGCCTCCTGTAATTCATCATGTCCTCTTTAACTGGTGGTGTCGTGTTTATGGGCTTGGGCTGCTAACTGCAAGGCCAGCTGTTTGAAGCCACCAGAGGTGCCAAGGGAGAAAGACGGGCTTGCTACTCCCGGGAACAGGGACCGTCTCGGACACGCACGGGGGGCAGTTCGACCCTGGGGTCTAGGGTCGCTGTGAGTCAGGATCCATTAGCCAGCAGTGTGTCGTTTGGGGGTTACTGTATATGGACCCACCCTCAGCCTTTCTCTGCTGATTTGGATTTCCTCAAGGGCCCTGGGAGTGCAGTGGCTCAAGGTCAGGGGTTTGAAACAAAAGGTCAACTGCTCCCAGGGAGAAAGCTGCGGCAACCCCCTCCCATAAAGACGGCAGCTTTGGAAACCTACGGGGGTTCGCCCTCCCTGCTGTAGGGCCGTGCTGTTACCTGGCCGGCTGGATCCCCACAAACATGAGGACCTTAAGGGCGATCCTGCGGTGCAGATTCCACTCCTCGATGGCACTGGCCATGATCAGCCCGCTGAGGAAGAGGAAGTTGGTGTCCATGAAGTACTGGGAGCAGACCTTGTCGGAGGGCAGGATGCCCATGAAAGGGAAGAAGATGATGGGCAGCAGGGCCGTCACGGAGAGGGGCAGGGCCTCCACGCACCAGTATACCACCATGAGCAGGATGACAAACAGACAGCGGCCTTCCTGCAGGGGGAGAGGCGCCCAGACCAGTCAGCGTGGGGGAGGAGTCCTGGGGGTGGGGGAGGGTGTCAAGGCTGGCTCCTCAGGGAGCCCGTGGAGTGCGGATGTGCCCACATGGCTTTGACCCTGGGCAGGCGGTCTCACCTTTCCGAGTCTTATTTTGCTTAGCTGTAACATGGAGAGACGACTGCTCCTCACCTCACAGGGCTGTCTGGAGATGATCAGAAATAACCCCCATCCTGAGAAGCAGACGTTGAGTGGGGCGTGGGAAGCACAGGTTGCCCCCGACTTACAAGAGGGTTCCATTCCGGTCAGTTCTGATGGAAGGGATCAGTTCTGACATAAGTCGGATAGCACCGTTTTCACAAATAACATGCCCATGTAAATAACACGCACATGCATACAACTCACACCACACACATAAGAAACCAAACACTGGTGGGGGTGGAGCAGGAAGCTGCACAGTTTGAAAACCTGCGTTTCTGACGTCCTTCACTGACCCATAGCACTACGGGGGACAACACGGGAGACATGGTGCGGGAATTGTGCCCGATCTGACCCCACCACACTGGGGCGAAACAATAAATGCGTGCAACAGAGCAGCAAGGGGAGCAAAGCAATGAAGTCCCCGGAGAATACCAAAAATAGACTTTGGGGCCAGGGCGTGGCACCCCATCAGACTGGACTAGAAAACACGTCTAAAGGTCAACAAACAGACCTGGAACTATTTACAGGCTGTTTTTTTGGTCATTGGTTTTTGTTGTTTTTTTGTTTTGCTTTGTCTTGCTTTTCTGCTTATTATTGTCTCTGCATGTCTATTTGATCAGTAGTTCTCAACCTGTGGGTCGTGACCCCTTTGGGGGCCAAACAACCCTTTCACAGGGGTCTCTAGATTCATAACAGTAGCAAAATTACAGTTATGAACTAGCAATGAAAATAATTTTATGGTTGGGGGCTCACCACAACATGAGGAACTGTATTAAAGGGTCGAGGCATTAGGAAAGTTGAGAACCACTGATCTAGATAATATAGGCAGGATAAATAATCCAGAGGAGAAAACAACAGGACTGACAGTTCTGGGGTGACATGGGAGGGGGGGAGGGGGGTGTTAACAAACCCAGGGACAAGGGAACAACAAGTGATCTATAACTGATGGTGAGAAGGGCGTAGGATGCCTGGTGGGGCTTAATCAAGGACAATGTAACTGAGAGGAATTTCTGAAACCTAAATGAAGGCTGAGCAAGATAGTGGGAAAAGAGGAAAGTAAAAGGAAATAGAGGAAAGAACTAGGAGGCAAAGG